TTCAAATACTTTTACTAGTGTATAAATCTTTGTATGTTTTGCCCCAAATTATCTATGTGAAATAATCGAATTTTATGTACCTAGTCGTAGTTTAAGATCTGAATCGAAGTTTCTTATTAAAACTCGTCAGGTGTGTAGTAAAAAGTCCAAGGTGTTATACAAAGACCGTGCTTTTGAAAATTTAGGTCCTAAACTTTTTAATGAATTACCTCTGTCTGTTCGTTCTAGTCCTTCAGTAGACATTTTTAAATCCAGACTGAAAACGCACTTATTTAAATGTGCTTTTAATATTTGACTGATTGTTTATTGTATCAGCGCCTTTGATCTTCATATGTTGGAATTGTTGCGCTTAATTAAATAAAGTTATTATTATTATTATTTATTAAGAGCTATAGACCAACAACTAGGAATTAGCATAAACCTAAGTGAAAACAAAATGGCTACTATTTTTTTAATCTTGACAGAAAAAAATATGATATGCACTTTTATCCCAATATGCATGATCCTGTTACAGTTTTGATTAAATCGCCCTGTTCATTTCGAAGAAATGATTTCAAACTCGTATCAGAATTTAACAAATTGGAAACATCATAATTGTGATATTAAGACTCAAGTTAGATAGAAAAATTAGGAAAAAAATTGTATACTGTGATGTGACTCGTTGTGGAATAACCACAAATTACTCACATTTGAAGTCTTTTGATATTTTAAATGGTCCATTCTCAACAAACAAGCCAAAGAGTGAAGAGCCACCAGGGCCACCTTGCAACCACAGCAAAACAGGAGCATTCTTTGAATCAACCTAAAATAGAAATGTTTGTCATGCCAATAAACATCTTTCATTTCTTGGGAGAGATCAAAATTATTTGGCAATATAAATTTCATTTGATTCTATTTGGCAGTGATGACTTTAGCCTTTGTTACAATCTTAAATGGTATTTAAGATTTATGTAATTATAGCATTGTGTAAAAAGTTCGCTCCCAGTAAGGTATGATTCCACAACATAGAGAGACAAAACATGTTTTCAAATTCATTTAAAAACTGCTCACTGGTGTTTATTTGTATTTAAACAATACTTTTTCAACTGTTTTTATAATTCTATGATATAACGGTATACACTAATAATGTATAATGGTGTTTGGTATCATCTCATTGCATACAGAATGTTAATGTATCTGTGATTATTTGCATGTTCCTACCTTGGCTGGTACAAACCAAAAAAACATATTGCTATTGTACTTCTTGTTGACAGTGAGAAAACCTAGCAATGAAACATCACAGATATCAGATAGGCGTCCATTATTTGAAATTAATAACAATACATTCACTGATTCAATTCATTTTCTCACAGTGAAGTCTGCTAAAGCGGGTTAATATATAAACATCAATATTTCTAAATTTGAATGACAATTACATATTTTATGAATGTGTGCAGTGATGTGAGCTGTTCAAGCATGTTCTAATTTAGGCATGAGCACTACACTAAACTAATGTCAAATGAGAACTCACTAACTCATTGATTCACTCACCAACTCATTGATTCACCTGTGATTTCACTCACCAACTCATTGATTCACCTGCGATTTCACTCACCGGTTCATTGATTCACTTGTGTGATTTCACTCACTAATTCATTGATTCACTCATGATTTCGCTCACTAACTCATTTATGCACTCATGATTTCACTCACTAACTCATTTATGCACTCATGATTTCACTCACTAACTCATTGATTCACTCATGATTCATTAACTAACTCATTGATTTACTCATGATCTCACTAACTCATTGATTCAACTGTGACTTCACTCACCGGTTCATTGATTCACCTGTGATTTCACTCACTAGTTCATTGATTCACCTGTGATTTCACTCACTAGTTCATTGATTCACTCATGATTTCACTCACTAACTCATTGATTTACTCATGATTTCACTCACTAACTCATTGATTTACTCATGATTTCACTCACTAACTCATTGGTTCACTCATGACTCACTCACTAACTCATTGATTTACTCATTGGTTCACTCACTGACTCATTGTCCCACTCATGGACTCATTGAGTCACTCGTGATTTCACTCACGGGTTCATTGATTCACTCAAGGTTTCACTAACTAACTCATTGATTCATTCATAATTTCACTTGCTAACTCATTGATTCACTCACAGACTCATTGATTCACTCGTGATTTCGCTCACTGTTCATTGATTCATTCATGATTTCACTCACTAACTCGTTGATTCACTGTTCATTGATTCACTCATGATTTCACTCACTAACTCATTGATTCACACATGATTTCACTCACTAACTAATTTATTCACTCATGATTTCACTCACTAACTCATTTATTCACTCATGATTTCACTCACTAACTCATTTATTCACTCATGATTTCATTCACTAATTAATTCACTCATGCTTTCACACACTCACCTATTCACTCACTAACTCATTGAGTCACTTGTGCTTTCACTTACAATTTTTGTCATTGACTGATTGACACTCAATCATAGTTCATTCATTCACTCACTCACTGACCAACTCATTCTCTCATGCACAACACAATTTAAATTGACTTACCTGTGTAACTATCAGTGCCTTCAGCACCTGCTAACTTGCCTGCTAAACTAAGATTACGAGCTGAAAAACAAGACAAAAAAATTTATCTTAAAAAAACATTGAATGAGATAAACTGACATCAGGTAACCAAGAAAAAAAGTTTGAAAGCAGGCATGTTCATCTGTATTACCATGTCAGTAAGTACTTTAATTTAAATATAACATTTTGAGATTAACAGCAATGAGACTGACAGCAATGCACTAACATCTTTGTGTTATTGCAGATTCTATGGTCATCACATAACTTATTGCGAATTGCAAAAAATTTAATATATATTAAATTAAAACTATTAAAATACAATGAAGCACTACCTTCTTCTATTTTTCCAGCTTCAAGATAAGGAGTCAGAAAGAGTGGTTTTCCAGGATCTTCCCCGTCACTAACATGGTGAGGGTAGTTCTCTGTGAAAATGGTACTTAGTGGTGTCCTCGCATTGGCTTCAAAGCTGCGAAAACTTAGTACAATCATCAAAACAGTAGGATTTAATAGCGACAGGATCATCATTAATTTGCGTCGCACTATGACTGTCATGAAGAAAACAAGAAAAGTTTAGAAATGTTTAAAAACAAATAGCATCGGACATGTTAAATCTGTTTTGGAATTTGACTTTAAGGTAGAACACTACACAAAAGTAAAAATATTGAAATTTTTACATATTTGATATTACACGAGAATGAAAAAATTGTAATTCAAATATAGGGTCATTATACCATACAGTGTTCAGACAAAACCGATGTACAAAATAGAGTGAAAATAGCATGTTTTGTATGTTTTAGGACATTTTACCATTGTTTTCTATGGAATGGATATATATCAATATCTTAAAATTTTGCTGGTGAAAAAAAAGATATATAGTGTTTAACAAAGTACTTTTGGATGTCTGGACGAAGTATTGAAAAGCTACTAAAACTTGTTGAAAAGACTCCAGCTTATTGAAAGGTTTATTTTTCACAATAAAATAACGAAAATCATATACTACTTTTAGTGTCTTGAATCCATGTTTTATTTGTGTTCATTTATTAGTAAAAATTTACAAACGTAAAAGAGACATACTAAAAAAATGTAACAAAAGTAGTACAATTCAGGGCAGAGCTCCAGAAGGAGTACCTACACTTTATGCAAATTTTTTTAAAATTATGCTAATTTATTCATGACGTTGCAGTTTCTGTGCTCATGAATATTCATTAATTTGTGGCTCAATACATTTTAAAAGGGGCGATATATTATTTTTGGGGGAAGAGTTAGAAAGGGGGATTAGCAATCCTTAGGGGGTCAATACAAAAGAAGGGACCCATTTGGAGAGCAGCCATGCTCGTCGTGTCTGTTGTTGCACGTGACCTACAGCTGTCAACTGTGTTCGTTCTTCGA